CTGGTGACTGGAGGTGCAGCTGTTGGTGTACAGGGAGAAGAGCAGAGGGGAAAGAACGCAGCCTTGGGGGGATCCGGTGCTGATGGTCCGAGAGGCTGAGACATGTTTCCCCAGCTTCACGTGCTGCTTCCTGTCAGAGAGGAAGTCTGTGATCCACTTGCAGGTGGAGTCGGGCACGTGCAGCTGGGAGAGTTTGTCCTGCAGCAGAGACGGGATGATGGTGTTGAATGCAGAGCTGAAGTCCACAAACAGGATCCTGGCGTAGGTTCCTGGGGAGTCCAGATGCTGGAGGATGTAGTGGAGAGCCATGTTGACAGCATCGTCCATAGACCTGTTGGCTCTGTAGGCGAACTGCAGGGGGTCCAGGAGGGGGTCGTTGAGGGACTTCAGGTGGGTCAGGACTAGCCGTTCTGATATTCTGAAAACTGATGAAGACACACATAAGGTGTTTGACGGTACGGTAAATGGTAAGCGTAAGTGTCAGGGGCGTGCCCCCCCCCCAAAAAAAGTAAATACAAAAAACCATCCTGAACAGAAACGGTATAAAGCTGAAATAAATGCATTAGTATTGTTTTTATCAAGTCGTCTTATGTTGTCATTTGTCACTTATGCTACAAGCCCCATATTTGCAACATGTTGGGCCACGCCCCCATCAACACAGCAAGACACAAACCAACATGCCTGCATTCTGACAGCGCTTCAATGGAGACTAGCAGCTAACCACTGGATACCACTGTAACTAACAGGTGAGTAAGTTGGAGATACTTGAAAGGATCATTGAAATGATAAGAAAATAAAGTTATCTTCACACTCAATTTAATGTGTAAGAATGTTTCGACATTGAGGAATTTTGGGAGAGTGAGTTGAGTAAGGCTGCTGCTGTTACTTTTGCAAACTTTTAAGATTATCTCTGGCTAGCGAGCTAGCACTAGCTAGTTATCTTAAGTCCATTCCCAGGTGTCACTTAGCCATAGATAACACACTGTCGCTAGTTTACACTTGAAATTGAAATAAAAGCAGTCTATAGTTAATGTTTTGTAAAACTTTTCTAAAGATGACACAATGAAAATGATACATGCGTCAGGGGGAGACAGGAAAATCCACGCGTTCAGAGACCCGCAAGCATCAACTAGCACGACAGAGAATGCAGAAAGATATGTAAGGGAAACAGAAGGAGCTAGTGGAGAAAGCAGAACAGGTGCAGAAAGGGAAGACGCCAGTGGCAGTGAATGTTCAGGAGACAAGTTGTCAGAGACAGAGCAGGAGGAGGAGAGTGATTCTGGGAGAAGAGAACTGAATGATTAACAAGTCTGCCCTCCAGGTGAGTGGTTATCAGTAGCTGAAGAATGGGACAGCGTCGGTCGGGTTATGGCAAACAAAAATATGTAAAATGTTAATGATTGCATGTTTAGTCTTAAAAAACAACAAAAGAACAACATGTGATTGGAAGTGGATAGCACTTATGTTAAAAGCTGATACTAATGGGATTCTTTGGTGTTTTACAGACATTTCCAAGTCAGGGGTGAAGCTCCAGCGCAACCTCAACTACATTTCCCCAAGACATTCCAGGGAGACCGAAACAGGAGCTTCAAGGGTGAGTGGTATGGAGTCCACCCCTAGTTAGAATACTCCATCAGTGAAGACTCTAGCTTTTTCTATGCTTGCAGGCATTTCAGTTTACCTGGCCATGTTGAGTCTACATTTACTTCAGGTTCAGGTTTCAAAAACTGGAAAAGGCTACTTATACAGACGGACGGTATGCTGCACACAGTAGATCTGAGCATCACAAGAATGCCATGCTAGCAAGGAAAGAACACTAAATTGCATTAAAAAATCAGGGATCTCTAATGGGACAATTAAATAAAGACTACAACAAAACTGTAGAAGAGAACAGGGGGTACAAAACTCTTGCTGAAGTGGTTCTTCATTGTGCAACCGAGAACATTGCTCTGCGAGGGCATCGTGAATCTGTGGCTTCAAGCAGGAAAGGGAACTTTTTGGGTATGTTGAATATCATAGCAAACCATGACAATTTTTTTTTGAAAAAGATGGATGGTCCCAGAAATGCTAAATATACAAGTCCTGACATACAAAATTAGATTTTGTCATGCTTAGCAGATATGGTGCGCACATCAATAATATAAGAAGTCAAGGAAAGTGGTGCTTTTAGCATTCTTGTGGATGAGACTATAGACAAAAAAAATGGAACAAACGTCTTTTGTTTTTAGATACTATTAAAATGGTGAAATCCTTGAAAGTTTTTGGAATTCGAGGTAGCAGAGAAGGTAGATGCGGAGAGTGAAAATAATTCACCTCTTGTCGAGATATGGTCTAGAATATAAGTAACATTGTTGGGCAGTCTTATGACGGGGCTGCAGTCATGAGTGGCAAGCACAGCGGTGTGCAGGCCCGAGTTAAGGAAGTAGCAAAGCTGGCCTTCTACGTTCACTGTAACGCGCATTGCCTTAATCTGGTGCTTGTGGACACCGTGAGAGGAATCTCAGAGGCTGAATGTTTCTTTTCCTTGTTAAAACAGCTGTACATCTACATGTCTGGATCAGCAGTGCATCCCAAATGGTTACAGGTTACAGGAGATGTATACAGGTGCACCCAGAGAGTTGCAGTGTTGAGTGACACACGGTGGGCCTCCAGATATTATGCCTGCCGTAATTTATGGGATAGGTTGCCAGCAGTTGTGAAAGTGCTTGAGGAACTGGGTGATGAGAACAGTGGCGAGAGATCTGTAGGTGCTAGAGGCCTTTTGCCTCAGATTGATTTCCAATTCATTGTATTTCTTGCCATATTTAAGAAACATGCTCCAGTCTTCCTGTCTTGATTTGGCCAGAGCAGTGGATCTTGTGGAGGCACTTATTAGTACTTTTGAATCCTACAGGGGTGAGCAGGTGTTCGGTGATTTGTGGGACAACGTTTTGGAGCTTGCAAAGCAATGTGATGTCTCTATAGACACTGCTCGAAAACGTAAGAGATCACTAAGTTCAAAGCTACAGGGATACCATGTTCTGTCTAATGTCGGCAGCCAAGAAACAGGCAATGGCAAAGATTATTACAGGACAGTAATCTTTAATCTGGTTTTGGACCGGATGCTCAGTGAGCTCAGGAACAGATTCTCCAATCAGAATTGTGACATAATGCGTGGAATACAAGCTTTAAATCCAAGTAGCAAAAGCTTCTGTGACAAAGATTTTTGCATTTGCCAAATTGTATGGGTGTGACCTTGTCGACCTTGAGCATGAGCTCTACCAAATTAAAAGAGTTTTAGATCGTAAGGTAAAACAAGGGATGCAGAGACCACCTACAATTGTAGACCTGGCAGCTTTTATTGAACCATACCAGGAGGTCTTTGATGTTTTCTCCAGGCTTTGCAAAATTGCACTAGCACAGCTGCTTGTGAACGCAGTTTTTCCTGCTTGAAGCTTGTCAAAACACACCTGAGAACTACAATGGGAGATGATAGGCTGAGTGATCTTGGGGTGTTGAGCATAGAACACAGCAGGGCAGCGTCTTTAAATTTAGATGAGTTTGTTGATCGATTTGCTAGAAATCATCACAACTGGAGAATACAGCTGCTGTAAATGGCTAAGTAACCAGCATCTGTTTGTTATACCTGCCAGTTCTGGATCATAAACAGCCTCAACAATAAACAGGACGAGCTAGTGATATTGTTCATCTTACATCTTTAGTTTTTCCTAGAGTGTATTATGGGACATATTATTGGTATTGCAATGTTAATACATGTCTGTTCTATTTAGACATATCTGGTCAGGTTCCCAGACAGGCTCTCAGATATGTTCTCAAGAATAATAAATAAGCTAACAAACATAAAGACAATTATGTAAAATTGTTTACATAGATCTACCTACTCTCACACACACACACACACACACACACACATACAGACACACACACACGCAAACAAAGAGTGCCCCTTCTAGATCTGGTTTGTCAGTGCTCTGTTTTCATTCAGCACCACAATCTGTTTGATGTAGAAGCTAGTGATATTGATCACTGTTTTTAGTGATAATGTTCAATGTACATTGTACATATTGTTGATATTTGTTTTTCTTTATGTATTATGGGACATGTGTGTGTGATGTAATGTCTTTGCGTTTCTCTCTCTTTATATATACGTATATGTATACATTATCGCAAATGAATGTAATATTGCACTTAAAATGCTACAGTTTACCTAAATAAATTATCGCCTAAAATGACAATTCAAATTGTGTCTTTCTGTCACTTGCACTAAAAACATCCCCGTCTCATGTTAAAGTCCCGAACCCCCTCATCATGACACATCGCAATCGCACATTATCTAAGCACCCATTCCAGTAACATGGGATTATCAAAAGACATCATTAGTGTCCATAAGAAGGTTCAATCCATTGTTTAGGGCTAGATGGGCTCATCTTTCTCTTAGAAAACTGCTGCTCTGAGTGATGCAGTGTGTGAGTTTTAAAATAGTAGTTTTTGACAATCAAGTGCCACCCCAAATAAAAGACTGGCCAGAGCTGCCCCCCCAGAAATAATGTCCTGGCTACGCTCCTGACCGGAGGACTGAACTGTCTTTCACACCTCTGAGCTGCTAATCTCTAAACAGATCATTACCCCCCTCCCCTCCGTCAGGAGGAGGCCCTTACCTGCAGATAACTCAACAAGGCTCGGTATTAACAGAATAACCATCAGGGACAGCCTGGACGTCGCACACATCCTGCCGCGACTAAAGAAACGATAATGAGTAGAAAGGTTGCAGCCTCAAATGTCATCGACCAGTTTGCTAATCTGAGATTTATTCCTGTGATTCTGCGCCGAGACTTTCTAGATTGAAAGCAGATGGCAGAGGAGGACTCTCTTCGTTCTGCCAGGATATTAATAGCACATGTGTTTACAGACGCCCGCGCTGGTGGTTGGGTGAGGGCGGGAGGGCTTCTGAAGAGGGGCAATGGTCGTCTCATATTTGTCTCCTTCTTGTGTCCCTGCAGTAAGCATGTTCCTCAACACGCTGACGCCCAAGTTCTACGTGGCTTTGACGGGCACTTCCTCCCTCATATCAGGACTCATATTGGTAAGAAATCTGTGCTCTAGCTTCTGAGTTCTAAATATCTTGCGATGGGACAAAACACTTTCTCAGCGGTGCACATTTTAATGTGAAAAACACAGTTATAATTTCTTCCTGAATAACTGAGGGTGTCCTGCTGTCATACTCCCTCCAAGGGAGAAAACAAATAGTTTCCATTCTCAAGGTTTGAAAGAGAGAGATTAGTGTGTAGATATTAACAGTTTCCCTCCGATGCTCCAGAGACGGTGATGATCACCTAGATGTTTACGCCAGTAATAAGTCCTCAGATTGCAATAAATCCAGGTTTCATGTGCAGGTGTTTTTGTTTTTTTAAACCTCTTCTACTACACAGCAGTTGTCGGTCTGTGTGTCTGAAGTAGCTCGTCGGTCCCTCGTCCCTGTGGCCCATTGGTCGCTCCAACGAGGCACACAGAAGTTGTTGAGTTGCTCTGAGAGATGATTCACTCTCATTTCCCTGTAAGCCTCAAAGATCTCTTCAAGTTCTGTCATCAAACACCACTCTGTGTGCACTTATTGAGGTACTCTGATTCAGGATCAGGAATCAGGAAACATTTATTGCCATAATATGTCAGATATACAAGGAATTTGACTTGGCGGTTGGTGCATAACAGCAGACATTACATTACATGTCATTACATTTCATTTAACGGACGATTTTATCCAAAGCGATTTACAATAAGTGCATTCAACCATAGGGGTACAAACTCAGAAGAACAAGAAACAAGAAAGTTCAATTTCCTCAAATAAGCCAATTTACGTAATCTGCAGGGACGGCAGATTGCAGCCGATCACCCTCTCTGCAGAGCGGATGACACGCTGCAGCCTGCCCTTGTCCTTGGCTGTGGCTGCGGCGTACCAGACGGTGATGGAGGAGCATGATGGCCGTGTAAAAGTGCACCATCATCGTCTTTAGCAGGTTGAATTTCTTCAGATACAGAAGCGTGAGCCCCTGATGGGCTGGAAGAGGGGAAGGTGGGGGAACTGTAGGAGGTTGGTGGAGCTGTGGGGGATGGGATCAGGACATTGTCAAATCGGCAGTAGACTCGTTCAGCTCGTCTGTCAGGCGGAGGTCATTCATGGAGTGGGGGGATTTTGGCTTGTAGTTAGTGAGGTGTTTGAGGCCTCTCCAAACCGAAGCAGAGTCACTTTCTGAGAACTGTTGTTGGAGTTTCTCAGAGTACAGTCGTTTAGCATCTCTCACCGCCTTGCTAAACTTGTATTTTGACTCGTGTACAAGTCTTTGTCCCCGCTCCTAAATGCCTGATCCTTCTGCAGGCGTAGTGTTCTGAGTTCCGCTGTGAATCATCTTCTTTCCCAATGAAACCGCTCTGCTGAAGAACACTAGCGTTATTGAGTGGATCGTCTTTTTCTAGCCGCCAATTTCTGTGCACGTCCAGTTCTAATGTGGGAAATCTAATTGGCTGGATCTTTCTCTGTATGTTCTACCTCGTGTTGACTGGACTTAAATTGCTTTTGTGGAGAATTTGTGGTAGAACCAATTATGTTTTCATTGAATGAAACTCGCATGAGCAGATTCACTAAATCTCTCTCCCTCTGCAGATATTTGAGTGGTGGTATTTTAGGAAGTATGGGACCTCCTTCATAGAGCAGGTGTCTGTGAGCCACCTGCGCCCACTGCTGGGCGGGGTGGACAGCAGCACCCCCAACACCAGCAACGGAGAGGCCAACGATTCCAACCGACAGAGTGTGTCCGGTAAGATGAGAGGCAGAGCCACTGCTGCGAAATGTTCTAGAGAGGCTGTCGTCATCATCATCATCAGAGTCCCTGCAGCCTCCTTCCCTTCAGGTCATAACATGTCTGCATATTATCTGTGTGCTGCCAGAGATACAGTACAAGACTCACGTAGAGAAAGTCCTGTTTACTTTCAGAACACAGCAGCGTAATAATCTGAATGATGATGATTTTAGTGGTGAATAGAATTATAATAACAGCAGCTGCAGAAGAAATCCAAGAATGATGTTGATGATGACATCTGGCACTAATTATAATACAAGTACACTTTATTTTCACTATAAGTGTCTGCGGCTTTAATGTAACATTTAAATGTAAACATGTTTAATGCGTTTTAGCTGTAAAATCGGTACGCACACTGCACAACACAAAGTGGTATGTAAGTGCAGACCTATTTTTGGATCAACAAATTATGCTGAACTGAAAGTGTTTGATATTCTTTTTATTATATTATTTTATTGTATATATTCTAACCAGATTATGAAAGGAAAATAAGGACGAATTAAGAACACAGATTAGTTTTCTCAGTCATGGTTTTATCATTTAATGAAAAAGTTGAAAGTGGAAGAGAAGCTTTTCATTATTCCGGCTCCACTAATCCTGCGTTTTCTGGCTAATGATCTGCTCCGTGTAAATAATTATGTAGTTTGTTCCATTGCTGGTCTGAGACAGACTTTTTAACCCTGTCTTTACCCTTGTTGGTGGATTCAAGCTCAGTTCATTATTGTGAAATATGGGATGATTTCTGTTATATGAATGAAGTTGTGGAAGGCTCTTCATGGGCATCTTTCACCATGTCATGAAAAATGAAACAATTCCTAATTAGACACCAATTACCCCACCCGTCTCCCTCCTGCAGAATGTAAAGTGTGGAGAAATCCGCTGAATTTATTTCGTGGAGCCGAATACAATCGGTGAGTGTTTAGAACTCCTCATCTGTCTCCTCATTGTTTCTCCTCCTCCTCTCTTCTCTCTTGTTCCTCATAAGTCCTCCTCTTCTTCACTGCCGTCGTTCTTTTGCTCACCGGTTTAATTATTAAACTTCACGGAGCTTCTCTCTCCTCTACCTGCTTTGTTTTCTCCTACATCTCTGCACGTCTTCTCATCTGTTCTTCTTTTCCTCATCCCTCCTTTCACTCTCTGTGATGTCACGATCCCATCGTGTTCTCCTCTCAGCATGCCGAGCGACATTTGACCTCTGCTGTCTTCCAGGTACACGTGGGTGACTGGTCGAGAGCCGCTGACCTACTACGACATGAACCTCTCGGCACAAGACCACCAGACCTTCTTCACCTGCGACTCGGACCACCTGCGGCCCACCGACGCCAGTAAGCAAGCGCGGGCGCACGGGCGGCGTGTTGGTGGGAGGCGGCGAGGCGAGCAGCTCTGACATGTGACCTGTGTTTGTTTGTTTGGTGGCAGTCATGCAGAAGGCCTGGAGAGAGAGGAACCCACAGGCTCGCATCTCCGCCGCGCACGAGGCTCTGGAGCTGGAGGAGTGAGTCCTCCCCCTCTTTTCATAAGGGAAAGCTTCGACAGGGTCCGTTGGCACTTCATTTAATGACCCCCCCCCGCCCCTCTCCTGCAGCTGTGCCACGGCCTTTATCCTGTTGGCGGAGGAAGAGGCCACGACCATCATGAAGACCGAGCGTCTCTTCAAGCAGGCGCTGAAGGCCGGAGACGGCTGCTACCGCCGCAGCCAACAGCTGCAGCACCACGGCGCGCAGTACGAGGCCCAGCACAGTGAGTGGTGTGCGTGTGTGTGTGTGCGTGTGTCTGTGTGTGTGAGCGCGTGTGTTACATCCTGGGTCTGTTTGCCTCCCCCAGGAAGAGACACCAACGTGTTGGTGTACATAAAGAGAAGACTGGCCATGTGCTCCAGAAAGCTCGGCCGCACACGAGAAGCTGTTAAAATGATGAGAGATGTAAGTACACACACACACACACACACACACACACACACACACACACTGAGCCGCATATGCATAAATGATGAACCCTGTGTGCATGTGTCGGCCCCTGCTCGGTATTACATGTAACAACAGTTGTGTGTTTTCCAGTTAATGAAGGAGTTCCCTCTCCTCAGTATGTTCAACATCCACGAGAACCTGCTGGAGTCACTGCTGGAGCTCCAGAACTACGCCGACGTCCAGGCCGTTCTGGCCAAGTACGACGGTGAGGGGCCGAGACGCGCGGCGCTTCTCACTGATGTTAACCCGCGAGCCAAAAAGAAATCCATATTCTGAAACATCCACGGATTGATCTGCGGATGTGGATAGATGATTATATCTATCTATCTATCTATCTATCTATCTATCTATCTATCTATCTATCTATCTATCTATCTATCTATCTATCTATGAGGACAGTTCCTCTAGTGCTCCCGCTGCAGCTTCTTGTGACATTCGGCTTCGTTGAATCCAAAGAGAAGAAGTTTTTCTTCCTGTTTCACCACTTAAGCGTTACAACGTGTGTAAACATCACAAAAGCTGCCGAGTCCTTTGTGATGTCTCATGAACACAACAGAGTGGATTTATTTTGGCCGTTCTCCTCCTTTATACTTGTTGTATAAATGTCCAAAAAAAGGCTCCGACAGTCTCGTACTCAGAACGATGAAAACGTTGCCGGTCTTTAACAGGACCTCGTCTTTCTCCTACATCATGTGACACCCCCCACCCCCTTCCCTGTGTCTGCTGTCTCCACAGATATTAGCTTACCCAAATCCGCCACAATATGCTACACAGCAGCCTTGCTCAAAGCCAGGGCGGTGTCAGACAAGTGAGTACCCAATTGTTCTGTTGTAACTCAATAGTGTGTTAACGTGTCTCCTGCCCAGTGGAGACCAACACAAGACTCGTTTTAGAGAGACAGAGACTTTTCTTTTTACACTTTTTACACACAGGGATTAATGTGAGTTTTAATGTGGGTAAAATCCAAAACAAGTTAATTACATAGTGGTGTGTGTGTGTGTGTAGATTCTCTCCAGAGGCAGCATCCAGACGAGGGCTGAGCACAGCAGAGATGAACGCAATAGAAGCCATCCACAGAGCGGTAGAGTTCAACCCCCACGTGCCGAAAGTGAGAGACAAATACACACACATACACACACACACACACACACACACACACAAACACACAGCCGCTCAAAGCGGTGGTCTAATCCTGTTCTTTTCCTGTCCTCCTCCTCCTCAGTATCTGCTGGAGATGAAGAGTCTGATTCTTCCTCCAGAACACATCCTGAAGAGAGGAGACAGCGAGGCCATCGCCTACGCCTTCTTCCACCTGCAGCACTGGAAGAGGGTGGAGGGGGCGCTCAACCTGCTGCACTGCACCTGGGGGGGCAGTGAGTGCACACACACACACACACACACACACACTACTGGCCATGTTACATAGCGTACTGAGGTGTGTGTGTTGTGTGTGTGCAGCGTTCAGAATGATCCCGTATCCTCTGGAGAAAGGTCACCTGTTCTATCCGTACCCCATCTGCACAGAGACGGCCGACAGGGAGCTGCTACCCAGTAAGAGACGCCCTGGCACACACACACACACGAGGCGTATTTACACAGTAACTTGAGTTTAAATATTTCTGCTGTTTTACAGCGATATCTCTTCTGCTAAAGATGAAAAAACTGTGAAGAACAGTTTGTTTTTGTTTTTTGTTGTTTATTCATAAAGCATAAAAACTGTATGTAAATGTATATAAGTTAACGTTGTGACTATGGACAAAAATATAAACTATAATGTTACTGGTAGTCACTGTAGTAAAGGTACCGTTAAAATACTGATGTTGTTATACTGATATTTATATTTCTGCATTTATTTTGAAACAAAACAACAGTCTCTAAACTCATCTGTTGTTTGTTCAACTCTTAAAGCTATCAAACAAAATAAGTAAAAGTACAATAGAAAGTACAATAGTTTCCTATGAAAAAAGTACCCCAGATGTGTACTTGAATGTATAAACTAATATTGTATTTGTGTGTGTGTGTTTGTCTCACGTGGAAGCAGTGTTTCACGAGGTGTCGGTCTACCCGAAGAAGGAGCTGCCCTTCTTCATCCTCTTCACAGCCGGACTCTGCTCCTTCACCGCCATGCTGGCTCTGCTCACACACCAGTTCCCCGAGCTCATGGGGGTGTTCGCTAAGGCTGTGAGTCACGCACACATACACACCAGAGCCTCCTCCTGCTGTCACTAGCAGCTCCTCTCATGGTCATCTTCCCAGCTGATGAAGCTCTTTAACAAGTTGGGTTATTTTCAGCTTTTTTTTATAAATGTCGTCTCTTGCTCTTGGCTCCTCCTCTTCTTCTTCTAGTTCCTCAGCACGCTGTTCGCTCCTCTCAACTTCATCATGGAGAAGGTGGAGAGCATCCTGCCGTCCAGCCTCTGGCACCAACTCACCCGCATCTGACCCGGACCCAGGACCCCCTCCTGGACAGAGACCGCTGAACTGATTGGCGCTGGATTTGACCTGCGCCCCTCTGGTGGCCAAAGGAGCGCGCTCAGAACCGAACTGACAAAAGCCAAAACACTGGAATCCAGAGTTGGTTTTGACTTTAAGCATTTTTGGGGGGTTTCAATCATTCAAAGCTGTTCTTTTGTTGTACAAAAAAGAAAAAAATGTGATCAATTGCCATCATTAGAAAAGTGAAAAAACAAAAAATACAATAAAGGACTTTTTGTGTTATGCTGCAAGCTGGCTTCTTCCTGCCGTTTTTTGATTCTTGCCGTTTTACCGGCTGTGACTGTGAGAAGCCCCAAAACATCTGGCGTACCGCCAGCTCCACCCTCTCGCCGGCCGTACCGGTTTTTGATAGTCACATGGCTATAAACACATTCTAACGGCACCCTCTAACGAACTAAAACATAAAACAGAAGCATCGACTTTAACACAATTTAAATAGCAAGATAAAAAATGAATGTGGCCGCGCTGCTTGATCTCATTGAGTTTCAGTCCTGTAACAATAACGTTTGCATTCACACATGAATCTCATGTCACCCAGTATGTTTTCTGGATGCAGTCGTCTTTTTACCGAGTGGACTGAAGGCAGAGCTCCCGTTTCACCTCTCCAGGCACAAACCCTTGATGTCGATGTTTCCTCACCGATAAAGCTCCATAGACACTACGTGATGACTAAAAGTGTGCTGTCATCGCTAAAAGTTGTTGGAAGAGAAACGTTTTTCTAGCTATACAGCCAGCGTGACATATATTTTCCAGCACCGTATTCTCCAAGGAACAGACGTTGGTTGTGTTGGCAGACTTTAATGCAGGAAAATGTGGATTTGTAAAACTGAAAAGAGCACAATACAAAAGGCAAGTGCGTTGTAAGCACAAATGATATCGGTCAGGAACTAAAAGCTGTTAGCATGAGCCATGAGCAGTTCAATACATATAACATATAACAGATAAAATACACAGCGCGTTCTGTTTGTTAGCGCCAAGATGTAATGACTATGCAATAACACACTCATACCGACATCATGACTACATTGTAGTGGAACTTAACAAATACCGACATAGACATGTTAATACAACTGTAAATAGTGGCAAATTTACGGATTAAGCCGATTTTGTGGACTCTAAAGCACAGGATTATAAAGATTGACGGCTAAGATGCTAACTTGAGCTCATGGGCATGGTGAACTTCCTGAACTCCACTTCCTGTACGTTACTTCCTGTTGTTGCTAGCTAGTCAGTGCGGCAACTAACATTCACCACTAGGTGTCAGTATAGAACACATAAATGAAACAACGTAGTGGTTCCAATACAAAAAGCCTAGATTATGCTTCTGCGTTTTCAGAGAGATGCAAGGACAAATGTAAGGTGTAGATCATTGTGTTGAATTGTTTATGTTCGCGTTCCGTGTGTACGCTGCGGGACACCGTACTCGAAAGGTGTGCATGCGTGGTGAAGTCGGGGTACGCGCATCTCCCCGCCGAGTAGCATGGTATAGCGTAGCCGGTAGAAACACGACTCTACGTAAATTATAAGTTTGTGCAATAGACCAACGGCTTGGATTCAACTTACTGACTCCTCACTCATTTCGACATGGTGTCAAAAGAGGGATAAATCTATCGCATGTGAGTTCTACGTGATTTTTTTGTCTCCAGCGGAGCGGACAATTAGGCTAACGTCTCAGCTAAAGGAATAATGGCGGATGGATTTCGCAGACCAGACCCCCTCGTTTTTGACGGGAACATCGCCCAGAATTGGCGGACTTTTGAACAGGAATATGATATTGTTGTATAGTCGGATACTGTGTAAAACAAAAATGCTTACAAAAACATAATGCTTTTCTTTGTGCACCAAGAATCCTGCACCTAAACTAGTACTAGTACTAGTGGTGTTACCACTAGTAACACCAGAATACAAGATAAAGATGTTTCCATTTGCTATGCAAAGCTGTTTCCCTGTATACAGATGACCGTAGATAACCTGATAACGCAAATAGTGCCTTGACCGTTCCATGAACCCGCCTTGAAGTGTGAAGCCGTTTTTCGATTCTGCTTTAAGGTGTGAAAACGTCTTCCTGAAAGATGCAAAGTAGCGCAAATATTGCACGGTTCTGCTTTAAGGTGTGAAAACGTCTTCCTGAAAGATGCGAAGTAGCGCAAGTATTGCACGGTTCTGCTTTAAGGTGTGAAAATGTCTTCCTGAAAAGCGCTTAGTAGCGCAAAGGACGCACGAACATGCTTTGATCAAGTTTCCATACCGAGATTGTGATCGACGCAAGATAAACCCCAGTGACACACATTGCTTCTGCAAAAGAAAGTATATAAGCCAAGATGCTTTAACAGAAAAAAAGAGAGAAAAACGCGCCTACTTCTTGTTTCTTGCTCACACACGAAGACGGAGAGTTCTTTTAACCTTTAGGGTTTGAACGATATAACTGCTTTTATTGTTTTTATATTCAATTTTTGTAAACCTTTTCGCTTTTTTATATAAATAAAAATTCTCCTTTTTGGGGAACAAAAGACCATTTGTTTCCGGGGGATTCCTTTCCACTGAGGGGCCTCCTCCCAGGGGCTGAATGACAAGAACACCGCTTCGAAACCTGCAGACACCGGTGAGTGCCCTTATCTTGATACATAGAGGTACCAGTCATCCCCCAAGGGCATTAGGGACCTAATCGATATGTAAGGACGACGAGCTCACTCGACGGAGGGGTTACAGGTCAAACATATACGTAGATCCCGGGTGAGAACTTAATCAAAAGGTTCCTTAAACTCAATAAAGTGTTAGAATGAGTGTCACGAATGTATCGTCTTAACAACCTACTTCACCATCATCCTCGTTAGATATTGGGGGGAAGATAAGCAATACTGTGTGTACCGAACAAATACGAGTCAGCTAAAAAACTTTAAGGAATATAATCGATATTAGAACTTATAATGGCATAATACGACTCGCCCTTGTAGCTGTAAGTCCTACTCTTAAGGAAGTTGTCTTCCTCACTCAAACTACTATAGCTCGTCGCGACATGGCGCCCAACGTGGGGCTTTGATTCAGCGTCTCACCACTAGTGAAAGAGGCGTCTGATAGCAAACACCGCTAAAACCTGTGTTATACCAGAGCCGACACACGATGTAGTGAGATACGGCTCACAAAAAGCAAATAAAGGTTGCGGCAGTAAAAAGGGGCTTGAAGAATCCCTACAATAGGTCGAATCAACCTGCTGACGTAAGTTACATTTGCGAACAAACTGTTTCTTATCACTCTTTCGTGCTACCGCCCGGTCATTCCGGACGTCGACCTTGAGGGTAGCTCCCTCCGGACCAGTACCCCGGCAACGGTACCACGGCTTTTAAATCTTTTTTCTTATCGCTTTAAAAACGTTTAAAGCCCATCAAAAATGAGCCGCGACAGAGACTCAGATGATTCTGGCGAGACTGTGGCCTCGGGATTCCGAAGGGCAAGATCCCCAAATAGGCAGCTCACACAGCAACAACCTAGACAGGCTGTGTTACAAAACCTATATGTAGCCTCTGGAGATATGTACACATACGAAACCGAAGCTCCCTCTATTGTATTAAACCCATGTAATAAGTGGCTCTCACACGGAGGGGGAGTCGCAAAAGCAATGGCCGACCGTTTTCCCGACCCGGAAAAACGGCATTACACATGGCATCATGGGGGAGCCAATATCCCGTTCACGGACGACTGTGTAGATTTAATAAAATTGATAAAACGATGAAGGGTCGAACGTGGTCGGTCTAGCAATTGTCTGCTACGACCCAGAGGATAGACCCCCCGATGGGGACCAATCCAACAGACAAACAGCATACTTAACCTCGGTTTTGGAAATGGCAGTCCGCGCCATAGACGAGAAGAATAGAAGTGGTCCGGACTTACAGATAAAAGAAATAGTCACGCCAATGTTCAGCGACGTGTTACACCCCGTACAATCCAAATCATCCGTCAAGCGAAACCCCTAATGGCCATTACGAGACCCTAATAAAAACCGCGCGCAACGCCCAAGTTGATGCGGAGGAAGAGGATCGTAACGTCAATGTCGGCCTCAAAACTCCCGTACAAAATCAGATCATAGAAAGTATCAGAAAACTGGGCTTAATCATAAACCATGAAGACGCTGAGTAGGCGGGGGGAAGAAAGCTCCTTCTCCACAGAAATGGAGGCAACCGGGGACGAGGGAGTAAAATCAGCTAGGACTACCAGGGTTACACCGCCTACACAGACCCAAATGCTGTGGAACACAGCAACTCAAAACCCCGCGAGAAAAAACGATCAGGCGGCCTTCAGGGAGCCCAGACACTGGGATCCACCTAGAACATCAAAGGGCCTCCAAGAACCCCGGCTAAATAAAAAAACTACCCCCACCCCGCCTGAAGAGGCACCAATCACACCAGGCCCGTATGGCGATAAGGACGCCACGGGACAGCCACAAAACCCTGAAATGAACCTATGGGTAGACAAAAGTACTGGAGCCATAATAGGCATCCTAGGAGAATCCCCACAGGTCCTACTCCCTTCGGAGGGACCATGGGACTTCATAGTCCATAGGACCCAACCGAAGGAAGGATGCCTCAAGGAAGGATGCATAGCCACCTTAGACAACACAGGGAAACTCAAAAATAGAATAAGGAGGGTACGCCTCTGTAGGACTAGCGGCATAAACCTCAGGGCACAGCTAATTTACTCTCTGAGCGAGGCCATACAGGACTCCTGGGATGTGGGAGATGAGGGCATCATGATACGGGCCCATAATAACAACAAAGCCTATGGTAACCTATTACCATCGCAAGTAACTGACGCTTACATAGACTCTATACCGTTCGAAAGCATCCCAAATAACTTTGTGGTTCTGCTCCTTGTAAAAAGGGACCCCGAGGGATGCATGGCAAAGATAAGAGAGAGAAGGGAAAGAGAAGCCTTAGAAGGATATAGCTTACCTGGGGACATAACACACGACCTGGGCCCATGCGTCACCAGAGAGGTAACCCCAATCAGGGGACCTCGCTTAAGGGCCCATTCTCCCCCACCATTCCCATCACGGAGCTTACCACCAATGGGCCCCCTGAGTCCCCTTACCCAATACTCTCATATGGAACCAGGCCCCATTACGGAGCAGATAAAACCAGAGAAAACCTGCTTCATGCAATCTAAAAACACGATAAGTGGCCCCCTCCAAAGAGGAATCCTTAACCCACAAGGGGGAGTACAGAACCCTTGTTATACCGC